TGAATATCTGAACTACCTGTTTCTCTGAATATACAAAGGCCTAACATGTATACCTGTTGTTCAACTTGAACTGTACAATCTGTGGCGGAACTCTTCGTGAAGGCTTCACTTGGATTACATCTCTTATAATGTCCAAATATGTGTCTCAGCGTTGCAAATAAGCATTTCAAAGTTTGGAAAAGGACGGTGGGGAGGAAGAGAGAGTATAATTTCAGACAGGAAGGTGTGATAATTCAGAGAAAATAGTCCACCTAATTTTCTGGAATCTCGGGAGCATACGATGCCTTTAGGTCTCCAACAAAGTCATGGTCCCTTGCTCTTGCCCTGCGCACACACCTGACACTCACAGGCTGGGAATGAAAATCGGCTTTTCTGACATCAGTGCCGTTTTACACAGCAATCCTGACTTTGTTGACTGTTCATACATGTGGATGGAGCCTGCTCCTTTGAGCTCATGTTTATTTCCTTTAAACTATCACCTGAGACACAGGTATCCTAATTTTGCTGTTTTGACTACATCTCAGGGGCAGCTCCTAATCTGTACAGAGCATCTGGTGGAAGTACCATTCACCGCTTCTTTTAGGAGATAATCTGTTTTCTTTATCTTGGTGGAGGGGGAAGAATTTCCTTGCATTAACCTTCTGCTTGTGCCACCAATCAGCTGTTAGGAAACTCAAGACAGTTTTAAAGCTGCCATGGACAACAATGAATTAGAGCGGAAGGAAGGGGGGAGGTGGCTTTTGCAAGAAAAAGTGATCTGAGAAACGCACTGTAAATCATCAGTGGAGCTGCAAGTTCTTTGAACAAATGCATTAAAAATAGTTTTGTTGTCAGTCACCAAGTTTATGTTTCCACTTAAAAAAAAGGAGGGGTTAATATGTATTTACCATCAAGTTGCTTAGTTCATCTTGTTTCACACTCAGCAGCAAGGGGAGGTGAGTGTTCTGAGAGGATAAACTTGGATGGGAACCTCTGCTGGAGTCAGAGGCCTGGCTGACAAGGCCTTTTCCTCGAGCCGTCACCTGCAGGGGTGGTAATGTCACCCTGGCTGGACATGGAGAGCACACCCTACCCCCTGTCTCCTGCCCTCATCCTGTCCCCGTGTCTTTTCCTGAGATCTGGCCTGACGCTTGCTTCCGGGTATAACAGCCATAGGGGGAACCCAGGACAGGGTTTCTGGGGTCAAAGCTTCCACTTTCTGCCAGAAGCTAAAATGCTGACTGTTTTCCATCTTTATCCTAATTTCTCCCACAGGCTTTGAATAAACCTGAAATCCAAACCCACAGCAAGCTTCTCCTGTCTTCTCCATCCTGTGCTCTTCAGTGGGGTTCAAGCAGTTTCTCGATGGAGTAGTGTTTTTTTTTCCCCATTTATTTTTATTAGTTGGAGGCTAATTACTTTACAATATTGAAATGGTTCATGGATTTGCCTGAGGAAGAACCTCTGAGGAGGCCAGGTTTGCCCAGTGAAAATCCTCAGTTCTCACCATGGCTCTAACCACAGAAGCTTCTCTGTCTCACGGAAAACTGCTGTCAGGAAGGAAATCACACCGAGGCTTAAAGGGCCAGCTGAGACTGACGTTAATAATAGCTGACATTTACTGAGAAATGCTACTCAATACTTTACATTATCTCATTTAATCCTCACAGCAACTATTATCCCCATTTTACAGATGAGGAAGTGGAGAGCTAAGTAGTGTGCCCAAGGTCACACAGGTGACCTTTCTAAACATAGGTGACCTATGTTTTTTACCTATAAAGCTTCTGAGCAGAAATGTTTGTGTGTATGTGGTAAAATACACATGAAATTCACAACTGTAATTTTAAAGTGTACAGTTCAGTGGCATTCACAATACCATGTAGCAATCACCACTATCAAGTTCCAGAACTTTTTATCAACCCCCCCAAAAACCCAGTACTTCTCATTCTCCTCTCCTTCCAGCCCTAGGGAACCACTGACCTAATATCTGTCTCTATGGACTTGTCTCTCCTGGATATGTCATAGAAATAGAATCATTTTAATATGTGGCCTCTTTCACTGAGCATGTTTTCAAGGTTCATCCGTGTCGTAAAATGTATCAGTACTTCATTCCTTTCTTTGGCTGAATAATATTCCACGGCATAGATAGATTACATTTTGTTTATCTAATCATCTTTTGATGGGCATCTGTGTGCATTTAATGGAAGGTATGACTCCCTAAGGTGGGAGTTCAGGCATAGCATCAAACTGCGGATAAGAGAATTTGGAGCAGGGGCCTTTCTCAGAACTTTCAAGTCACAATTTAGAAATCACTTATTCTGTGATTAGCTCTGTGAGCGTGGCAGTGAGGCAGGGTGTCTAACAGTACGTGTTCCCTATAGGTGTCAAGGCTTCCAAACAACTTCTGCCCAGTAGAGAGATATTACCCTCCGGGAGGGCACCTAACAGAGTCTTGGAACTGGAGCTTACATTTCAGGCTACCCATCCCCCAACTCACCATGGGAGGACATGTGCTGAGAGCAAAGAGGTAGGTTTCCACGCAGGGGCTGTCTGCACAAGCATAACGCAAGAAGGGCAATGCCAAAGAATGTTCAAATTTCTGCACAATTGCATTCATCTCACATGCTAGCAAACTAATGCTCAAAATTCTCCAAGCCAGGCTTCAATAGTACGTGAACCGTGAACATCCTGATGTTCAAGCTGGATTTAGAAAAGGCAGAGGAACCAGAGATCAAATTGCCAACATCTGTTGGATCATCAAAAAAGCAAGAGAATTCCAGAAAAACATCTGCTTTATTGATTACCCCAAAACCCTTAACTGTGTAGATCACAACAAACTGTGGAAAATTCTGAAAGACATGGGAATACCAGACCACCTTACCTGCCTCCTGAGAAATCTGTACGCAGGTCAAGAAGCAACAGTTAGACCTGGACATGAAACAACAGAATGGCTCCAAATCGGGAGAGGAGCACATCCGGCTGTATATTGTCACCCTGCTTATTGACTTATATGCAGAGTACATCATGAGACACGCTGGGCTGGAGGAAGCACAGACTGGAATCAAGATTGCCGGGAGAAATATCAATAACCTCAGACATGCAGATGACACCACCCTTACGGCAGAAAGTGAAGAGGAACTAAAGAGCCTCTTGATGAAAGTGAAAGAGGAGAGTGAAAAATCTGGCTTAAAACTCAACATTCAAAAAACTAAGGTCATGTCATCCGGTCCCATCACTTCATGGCAAATAGATGGGGAAACCATGGAAACAGTGACAGACTTTATTTTCTTGCACTCCAAAATCACTGCAGAGGGGGACTGCAGCCATGAAATTAAAAGACGCTTGCTCCTTAGAAGAAAAGCTATGACCAAGCTAGACAGTATGTTAAAAAGCAGGGACATTACTTTGCCAACAAAGGTCTGTCTAGTCAAAGCTATGGTTTTCCCAGTGGTCATGTATGGATGTGAGAGTTGGACTATAAAGAAAGCTGAGCACTGAAGAATTGACGCTTTTGAACTGTGGTGTTGGAAAAGACTCTTGAGAGTCCTTTGGGCTGCAAGGAGATCAAGCCAGTCAATCCGCAAGGAAATCAGTCCTGAATATTCATTGGAAGGACTGATGCTGAAGCTGAAAACCCAATACTTTGGCCACCTGATGCGAAGAACTGACTCACTGGAAAAGACCCTGATGCTGGGAAACATTGAAAGCAGGAGGAGAAGGGGATGACAGAGGATGAGATGGCTGGATGGCATCACTGACTCTATGGGCATGAGTTTGAGTAAGCTCTGGGAGTTAGTGATGGACAGGGAGGCCTGGTGTGCTGCAGTCCATGGGGTCACAAAGAGTCGGATACGACCTAGCAACTCAACTGAAATTGGGGAAGGTCTGAGGCGATCTCCTGGATAATTCAATCCCCAGTCCAGCCCATATGCTGCCTTGGGTTCTTTCCATAACATATATACGCACATAGAATTATTCAAATTCTAAAAACAGGTCTTCTCGTAAAGGTAGTTAAACCAGTCCGGTGTGAATACATTTGGTGGGCCCAAGCTTTCTTTGTGAGGCTAAGTACTGTAGCATTCAGAACAAAGGCTTAAGAATCAGGTAGACCTGCATTCAAACCCTGCCTCTGCTAACATCAGATCTAAGAGATAGCACCTCAGTTTCTTCACCTGTGAACTGGGAACAGTAGCAGCAATAAACTCAATGGACTCTTACGACCATACGTCAAGAACACTGCATGGGTTTGGAGAAGCAATTTTAAATGTTACTATTAAAATCACCTCCAAGTTTACTGAGATTTTATTAATGGATAGACTAAGGACTGAGACTGCCAATTCTTCATTGTTCGATACAATTAAACCATGAGCTCAAATGGCTCAAATGCATCCCATCCTCTGACATTCCTAGTTGCTGAATTGGCGGGGGGGGGGTGGGGGGGCGGGTGGTGGTAAAAGAGAACCAGATAAAATTTTCCCATTTGAAGACATTTTTATTTTGGTACCTGCCTGAGTCCCTGGCAGGATGGACCTGTCCTCTGTGGGGACAATGGGGTGGCCCTGCCTGGAGGGGGTGGTTGAGGGATGGGACAAAGGCGTATGTGACAGTGACAGGTCACAAAGGACAGCGAGGATAAATATGGCCGCACAGGGGGTTTAGGCTGAGAGAGTGGTCACTTCTTTCACTAGGACTGCAGTTTCACAGCCTCTCGCAGAGACAAAAAGCCAGAAGCAGAAGTGAGGTGAGGCTGAGCGGGAGCCTACCATACCTCTGCAACACCCTTGAGGAGACTCAGCCTGGGGTCCAGGCGCCCTGCAGCATCCTCACGGGGGTCACCCGTGCCCGTACCCCCACCGCTGCCCCTGGGAGGCTCTGTGGGGTGTGGTGGGATTGGGGGACCTGCCGTGGAGCCGCCTGCATGACACAGGAGACCGCGGCTCCCTCTTCTGCCAAGAAGGCCAAGGAAAGGAAGACCCAGGGGCCCACCTCACCAGGGCGGCTTGTCGTGATCACAGCCAGCCATGAGCCGGGAGTCTCTGCTACCGTATCACACGGCCCAGAGCAGCGCCAGAGCAGGCCTGTTCACAACCACCAGGGGCAAACTGCAGCGGCAACTGCGCAAGGGTGAGTACGACATATTCAAGTATGCCCCGATCTTCGAGAGCGACTTTATCCAGATCACCAAGAGGGGAGAAGTGATCGACGTGCACAACCGCGTCCGCATGGTGACCGTGGGCATCGCATCCACCAGCCCCCTCCTCCCCCTCCCAGACGTCATGCTACTGGCCCGGCCGGCCACCGGCTGCGATGACCACGGCCGCGGCCAGACCACCAAGGCCAAGAGCCGCAAGGCTGCAAAGACCTTAGAGCTCACCAGGCTCCTTCCCTTGAAGTTCGTGAGGATCTCCATTCACGACCGCGAGAAACAACAGCTGCGCCTGAAGTTCGCCACCGGCCGCTCCTGCTACCTGCATCTGTGCCCCCCGCTGAACTCGCGGGAAGACCTATTCACCTACTGGGAGAAGCTCGTCTACCTCCTGCGGCCGCCGGTGGACTGCCAGAGCAGCACCTACGCCATTCCAGCGGGGGACGTGATCTGCATGCCCGTGTTCGAGGAGGACAGGAGGAGCGCGGCGGCCGTGGATTTCCAAGGCCGGGGCGATCAGGACCAGGTAAGCGTCAGGAGCCTCCGCGCGGGCTCCGAGGTGGCCGGGGCCACCTCTGCAGCTTTTGCCGGAGGGGAGGGCCTCCAGCTGGACTTCTACAGTCCCGATCCTGTGCCTGACGGGGCCAAGGCAAACACCAAACCCAGCCAGCTCCACGAAGAGTCAGCAGCGGGGCCGATGACTCAGGTGGCCGCAGCAGACGCCACAGGGGGTGATCTGAACGTGACCAAGTCCCATGCCTCTGAAGAGCAGAGCATGGCCCTTGAAGTCACCGTCACCAAGGGCCTGGGAGGAAGCAAAAGCAGCATAGCCATGGCAGGCGCTGCCAAAACCTCCCTGAGGACCAGGAAAACGGCCTTGGCACACGCTGCCAAAAATTCGGAGTACCCTTCCAGCACATCCACCAGCCTCTCCCCGGAAGCCAGCATGACTATGGTTGGAATGGAGGCCACCAGGAAGACCGCCAGAGGAAAAGCCAATGAGGACGACGAGGGGACCCTCATCTCAGCCTTGCCGCAGGAAGACCAAGAGAGTGAAGAGGAAGACAGGCCCCTGAGAGTGTCGCAGGCCCGCAGGGGAAGAAGGGAGAGGAGGGAACACCGGGAGAAGGAGCGAGCTCTCAGGGGCTCACGTCCCCGCGGGGCAGCCGAAAGCCGCCACAAGGCCGCGGGGGACAAGGCGATTCGGAAGACAGCCGGCAGGTCCTCAGGCGGCCGGAGGGCCATGAGGGATGACAAAAAGGAGAAAGGCCACGGCAGCCTGGGGGACAGCAAGCGGGGCGCGGAGCACAAAGGCATCAGCCACGCTCCCATCACCAAGGAGTCCAGGACCTCGCACAAATCGGCCAGGAGCTTATCTACCGGCAGTTCACTTTCCAACAACAAGAGACTCAGCAGGATCAGCTCTTTCTTGAGGAATGTCCGAGCCAGTCTCACTACAAAGACAGTGGCCTTGTCACACAATAAAGATGTGGACCTCTTGGAGAAGGTGGTGGAAAGGAAAAGAATGGAGGCCATCATGGAGACAACAGAGAGTGGCCAGGGGCTGGAAATCGCTGGGAGTGTGACATCCGAGGCCATGGAGACAGTGACCGTTGAAGCCCATCAATAGGACCTAGAGCTGAAAGCTGCAAAGGGGACCAGGGCTCAGGGAAATATCCCTGGCGAGCGTATGCCAGCTTCCTTACTGCAGCTTAAATAAAAGAACCATACAACCTGAGAACGGCCTGCAGCGTTCTCTCTGCATTTCCAGGTCCCGCAGCCCGGCTATGATGTCACAGTGGATTCTGTGATGTCAGTGGAGCCTCAGCCTGAGACTGGTCCGGTCAGGGGCAGCCCCACCTCACACACATGCCCAGCGCCAGCAGTGGTGCCCTGTCTGGCCTCCACTCCTTTCTGGCTTTGCTGCTCAGGGCCGTGGGTGAAAGTCAGACTGGCCTGGAAAACTCTCCTTCACCATCTCCCAATCCTTTCTATCAGTGTTTATTACCCCTGCAGGTCTGTAATCAAAGTGAGAACAGAACTCCCGTCCCCTCAGGCTGTTCAGTGGACAGAAGTAAGGTGCAGCAGTTTTTGCTGGCCGTCAGAACAGTGAGCGCTCTCATCTAGACTTAGCCATTCCCCTCCCAGGTATATACCCAGGAGAAACACACATGTTCTAAGGAACCACTATGAGCATGTTTATAGCAAAAGAATTTAATAGCAAAACACTGGAAACAGCCCAAATTTCCATCAACAGGATTAATACAGTAGGATAGGAAGAGAGTGGGATATTCAATAGTGAGAATTGGAGCTATACACACCATCACAGATCAACTTCTCATGATTTTTAAAGACATCAAAGAATGGGATGTAATCTACTTACAGAAACGTTCAGAAATAAGATCAATGTATTGCACGGCGGCAGGGTGGGGTGGTGGTGATGGTTTAGTCGCTAAGTCATGTCCGATTCTTGCAGCCCCGTGGACTATGGCCTGCCAGGCTCCTCTGTCCATGGGATTTTCCAGGCAAGAATACTGGAGTGGATTGCCATTTCCTTCTCCAGGGAATTTTCCCGACCCAGGAATCGAACCCAGGTCTCCTGCATTGCAGGCAGATTCTTTACCAACTGAGCTACGAGGAAAGCCCTGCATAGGGGGTAGGTTTTATAAAACTGTACCAAAAGTGAGGGAATAGTAAATGCAAAATTCAGGACAGTTTTCTCTAGGGTGGACAGGCTAGATCAAGGAGGTGGGTCCAAGGCTGCCAGTGTTGCTGGGAACTGTTCTGTCTTAGGCAAGACAGTGGGTACACAGGTGTGTTTCTCACATCATACCATCTCTGAAATCGGATGGTCCTACAATCGCTGTGGCAGTTGTGAAATTATTGCCAATGCCTTTCCCTCATGTTTTCACTTTTATATATGCACAAAAGTGATCTGTCAGAAATGCCTGGTCTCTTCATGTTGCATTTATTTAAGGTAAATTACAAGAACTCTGGTTATTAGGAAACGAAGGAACGATATGCCTATTTTACAGATGAGACCACTGAGGCTCAGAGAAGGTAACCTGCTCCAGTCGCACAACAGGATCTTTACAGAACAGTGATCTACCAGCCCACCTTTTTTACGCAAAGTCCTGTCTGAAGTATGGGAAGGAGGCAAGCAAACACGCCTTAGACAGGACCAGCTCAGGAGCCTGAGGCACCAGCATTCTTAACGCTGTGTTCCAAAACCACAGAGAGGAGCATCAGTTTTACTGGATTGGGAAGTGGGGGCTGGGGACACGCTGTGAATCAGTTTTTGAACTTCAGTGAACCCACAGCACTTAGCTGGCCTTATCTCCACGGCTGTGTCTCACTCCCAAGCTTCTAGCCTCTGGCGTGACCTGTGTTGCAGCCGTAAACAGGCTCCTACCTGGAATTCCAGGGTCCACTCCTGAATGGAGCTGCCTCTTTCTGCAATCCCGTCCTCCTGAGCTGCTAATTAAACTCTTGAATGCCAGGCTCAGAAGGGTTTCTCCATACACAAGCTTCAGGGACTTTTTTCTTCCTGGGTTTCCAACACCAGATCCTTAAATCTCATATGAGGGAGATTATTTGTTAGGTGACGGCTTCCTTGTTGGCTAGACCTTCAGTCTGTGACTTCCACAGATCACAGTGTGGGGAGGGGGGAGAGGAGAGGTCTCTTCTGTTTGCGGGGGGATGGTGGGCTCTTGGTGATGGTGGGGCCACCGATGAGAAAGGGAGATAGCCTGAGACCTATACACACGCACTGAGTTCCCCTGCAAAACAAGTTTCCTGACCCCAGGATGAGTCAAGTTTCTCTTAAGAAAGAAAGGACATGCCATGCCAAAGATTAGATACGAGTTGACCCTGTGAGGAAAACAACCTCGGAATCATTAACCCAGGGCTTCTGAGAAGACTAGGAGCTGCTGGAGGGGACAGAATTAATGGTTTACCCTTCACCAGCTTTCCCTTGGACTCAAGGTGGAGAAACTACAAAAAAGATCACATCCACATTCCTTTGATCTTATGATTTCCACACAGGCAAGTGCAGGTAAACACTAGTCTGGAGGAAGAAAACGCAACAAAACCACGTGCATAGCCCTTAACTGTTTATTAGGTTCTTTCATGTACGTGCCCCCTTCCGAAGCTCACATCTCTTCGTTTTGCAGATCAGTTAAGGGGAAGTTCAGGAGCATTTAAAGGACTTGGTTCAAGGTGGGAGGTGATGGTGCAGAGAGCCAGCTACCTAGGTGCAACAGCTTTCAGGCAGCGTGCCACCCCGGTCCCATAGGGAAGTCCAGAGACGGGAAGGAGGCCGGATAAGCTACAAGGAATTATCACAACGCTGAGCGACAGGCAGGACGAGAGATGTGTGTTTGGGGGACAGGATCTACTCAGAGGAGGGGTGCTGGGGCATGGGAAGGAGCTGGGCTTAGGGCAGGCCTCTCAGGAGCACTGGCAGCTTTGAGGATGAACAGGGCTCTGCCAGGTGGAAGGATGAGGAGCAAAGGTAAAGGTGGGGGAGGCTGGGAGAGAGAGGTGGGTAGACCATCAGGCAACGGGAAGGATTGCGGGCAAAGTACAAAGGCTTAAAACATCATGTGTGTTGAGCAACGGCAAGTATTTCAGTGCAGCTTGTTGGAAGGCGAGAGGGGAGGGCGGTAAGGCTGGAGAATCGGGCAGCTGGGTCTTGGGGAGCCCTGGGGTACTGTCTGAGTGGCCGAGACTTGCGGGACCATTGAAAAGCCAGTGCCTGGTGAGAGTTAGATCTCTCTGGCTCCAGGGTGGAAAGTGGATGGGCAGGGGGAGTCTGGAGACAGGAAATCCTCCATAAAGCCACTGCATTCATTCTGGCCCGAGTCAGGGAGCCCCAAACTTGGGGGGCAGAAGCGGGCAGTGTGGGCAGAAGCGGACAGGCAGGAGGTGTTGAAGAGATGGAATGGGACAATTTCCTAGCCCACATCCTGAAAGACAGGGAGTTCATGATGTAGGTCTGGCCCTCATTTAAAGGAAGAGGAACTGACAAAAGTGGAGGTGACCTCCCCCTGTGGCCACAATCAGTAGAGGGGGTGCCCAGAAGAGAGGCTCACGGGAAAGCAAGGAGTACTGGGTTAAGATAAAAAACAGCTTCCAGATGGCTGCAGGTAAAACACCAGGATGAGGCCCCCAAGAGGGATGGTGGGGCTTCAGCACTTGGAGACCCTGGACAGGGAGACCCCTAAGCCTTCATCAGGGCAGAGCTGCCCACGAGTGACCTCCTCCCCTGGGCAAAGAGGCACCTCCAGAGAGCCCTTGTGGCCACATGCTGGTAGTGCAGGCTGGTTCTTTGAGCGAGGGGGGTGGGGACTGAGTTTGAGTCACTGGGACCATTTCCTTTTGTACACCACAATTAGCCTAATGCCAAGCCCCGAGCTGTGAGCGGGGGAGGTGAGGGAGCCTGGGCAATGAAGGTGTGTCTCATCCAGGCGCCACGGCTCCAGGCCCCCAGCAGTGGGGGCGGGGGGCGTGGGGCTGTGCTCTGTACTTGGTCACAAAGTTGTGTCCGACTCTGTGCGACCCCATGGACTGTAGCCCGCCAGGCTCCTCTGTCCATGGGATTCTCCAGGCAAGAATACTGGAGTGGATTGCCATTCCCTTTCTCTAGGGAATCTTCCTGACCCAAGGATCGAACCCAGGTCTCCCACACTGCAGGCGGATTCCTGGATCCCTTACCATCTAAGCCACCAGGGAAGACCAAGAATACTGGAGTGGGCAGCCTAGCCCTTCTCCAGGGGAGCTTCCTGACCCAGGGCAACCCGGGCTCTCCTACAGTGCAGGCAGGTTCTTCTCATCTGAGCTCCTCGGGAAGCCCAGCGGAGGGGCAGAGTGTGAAATGGCTGAAAGACAGGTCCGAGAGGCTGGGAGTTTGGACTCATGGGGACAATGAGTGACCACCAAAAACAGGGCTGGAGTTAGCGTCTGTGTCCGTCTGCAGCCTGGAAGTTCTTTGAGAAACGATTGTTGATCACCTACTGTGGGCAAGATAGGAAACCAGAGACCACAAGGATGTTCACGAAGACACACACACACACACACACACACACACACACACTTATAAACACAAATCACAGTATGGTAGGGACTGCAATGGATAGAAAGAGGCTTTATGAGAACCTACTGTATAGCACAGAGACCTCTACTCAATGTTCTCTGGCGACCCAAAGGGGAAGGACATCCAGAAAAGAGAGGACATGTGTACAGGCATAGGTGATTCACTGCGCTGTACAGCTGAAACTAACAGGACATTGTAAAGCAAGCATCAATTCAGTCGCTCAGTCGTGTCCGACTCTTTGCCACGCCACGGGCTGCAGCACGCCAGGCTTCCCTGTCCATCACCAACTCCCGGAACTTGCTCAAACTCATGTCCATCAAGTCGGTGATTCCATCCAACCGTCTCATCCCCTCTCGTCCCCTTCTCCTCCTGCCTTCCATCTTTCCCAGCATCAGGGCAACTGTACTCCAATAAAAACTGAAAAAAAAAAAAAAGAGTGAAAGAAAGAGGCTTCATAGAGAAGGGGAGGACTTACCGGACAGACAGGCTGAGCACACTGGTGGAGAGAATAGTGTGATGGAGAGAGAGAATCCTAA